ACGAAGTCGTGTCCAAGCTCAACGAGAAGTAAGAAAAGTTCAGAAAGCTCAACCTGCGCTCCATCAAAAAGCGAATGCAGTTGCTTGTCCTAGACTTATTCAAGAGCATCTTCTTCTAGCAGCAAAGCATGCACTTCTGAGCCGAAGTCCAGCGTTTCGTCGGGCAACACGCAATGTAAATCTTCAAGAAGCAAATCTACATCAGTATAGGAGAGTCCATGCAACTCGACTCGGTCTGAAGATAAAAGTTCTTCGACAGTTTGCAAGTCCACTGATGACCAGGGAACTAACTCAAGCACGGGAGCCTCTTCAAATTGTAAATCAAGTTCGAGAAGTAACGTTTCCTCGAAACGCCAAAGCTAATCCTCAGCAGACTCCTGTGACAAATCAAAGAAACTGAATTCAGCATCACGTAACAGAAAAATCAGGAATAGATCAGAACGCACAAAGAATTGTAGCTCTCGGCTGCACGAGTCTACTGAGTCTGACGATACGAAGAGCGCGATGAAGCGTAGCTCATGCTCTTCTGAGACCAAAAAATCTTCAGGCTCCAGTAGGAAAGAGGTCTAGAGCGACTCGTCAGATAAACCGACTCGATCGACGACGGAAAATGGTTCGTCTCAAAGAACTGCTCCGAAATCGAGATCAGTTACGGGAACAACTTCAACATCAAGTAATTCATCGAGCAAGAGCATGGCTGGTGACACAGATTCCACCTTTTCGTCCAGCAGTCAGACTACAGACTCGAGTTCAACGACAAGCCAGAGCTCTGGCACAGCCATTTCGACCTCAGAAAGAAGCAACTCTGAATTTAGTTCAGCAACCGCAAGCCGAGGTTCAACGGACTACTGCGCGTGTACAAAAACTGCAAGCACTTGTACTCAGAGCGACTCTGAGGAATCATCCTGCAAAGCGGGCTCCTCGAGCACAACAAAGTCGGAGGAGCTTGATTGTTGGTGCAGGAAGTTTAACTTCTTCACAATGAACGGCGCCACACGCGGAGGAAAGTACTGATGAGCCGGGGAGCATCAATAACCTTTCAGAATAAATTTTTGATTTCAGGAAATGTGATTTGTGAACGGATGTAGATCAAACTTCTTTTTGTTTGATCTGTAATAAAATTATGTAAAATGATTAATAAATTCTTTTCCTTTTAAGGAGAATCAAAACAACAAGTGAAGTGACGGTTCTACTAATGCGTATGGAGTCTATTAAGTTAATAATGTTAATGTTACGATCCCGAAACTCGTCTAGACTCGATCGTCTTGGAATAGTTTCTCGAAATGAACGGGACCAGACGATAAATATGTCGTAAAATACGAGACATAGGTTAAAAATTGTTTAAGAATAAAGTAATGTAACGGGATGATAATTGAGTCCCTGAATTTCAAACTTGAGTCCCGGATGTATGAAGCGGGATGAGTCCCGTTGTTTGGAACACTTAAATTAATCGCGTATCGTAGTTATTCGGTAAATTTTATAGCATCAGCTATATCTATTGTTGCTCGTTCACGGGTCCAAATGTGGCAGCCAGTACTGCATGAGTTCCACGACTGGCCACCATTAGTTTCATGGGCCAGTAAGCTAATATAAACGAGGTCATTAGTGGCTTCAAGTATTTCCTGAAGTATGGCTGGCAGTGTGTGTCTTAAGAGCTCGCATTAAGTTGATTGATAAAAAATATGCGTTTAAAAATTATTTATTAAAGACAATACTCCTAAAGAATACAGTGTTCCTGATGTTGCACATCTACAACGAATTTCTAATTTTGATTCCATAGATTAAAAAAAGTAATTTTTAAATTTTCTTTTAACATATGAAAGAATTTAAATTTTCAAAATTATTTATTGTGTCAATTGATTCATGCATTGTCTCCGACTTTACGCAAATGTGCAAAATTTCAGATCGATTGGACAGGTAGAAGTGTGTTGAATATCGATTATAAGATTCATAGAAAACAAAATTATTTTTTTAATTTTTCTAAATTAAAAAATATTTTAAATTTTTAAAATTATATATTCTTTCAATTGATTCATGCATTGCCTCCGACTTTATGCAAGTGTGAAAATTTCAGATCAATTGAACAGGTCTGTGTGTTAAATATCGATTATAAGATTTGTAGCAGACAAACAAACAAGAAGTGAAGTTAAAGAAAAGTATTGTAAAAATGAGAGTGGAATGATGAATGTCTATTAGGTTTGATGACGGGACATGGCGTGAGAAAAATATGGGGAATGAAATGTGAATGGTTGAAGGATGTACATTGACACAAACGGTCTGGTATGAAGAATCGAGGTTAAATTAGTATAAACGATGTTCACCGTCTTTCATGAAGCAACGGGTTAAAAAGTTTTTACGACTTCCTCCGTTCGACATAGAAAAGGATTAATATTAAATGGGTTGGACCGACGTCTCACACAGAGCTTCGTAGATCGAGCCACGATAATCAAGCAGCTCCGGTTACAACTCGACTTCGATGCCTGATTTTCATGTTCCTCATATTCGTTTTGTTGCTAGAGGCCCGCTCGTGTCTGAGTATTCTACCACATTTTAAGGAATATTGCGCTACAGCGCTACACTTGCTTTGGTGCCGCATTTACAGCTATATACCATCTCTCTCTCAGCTACCATGCTAACATACTTTACTTCTATTTTTCTTAAATGATACAAACACTCCAGATAGATTTTTGAGCTTACGAGTTTAAATTTTTAACACTATTTACATTGCATCATTATATTCAAATTCTTTGCCAATATATAATTGAAGTTGTTTATGTCAATCAATTTTGCGTTCTCACTAACAAAACTTAGCGAAATTTTTCACAGCAGCCGCATTGATTTCTTTCATCTTGATAATGTAAGCGCAAATTTCAACTATAAATAAAAACCTTCTCATACTCATCCCGTCATCGTATTCCTCCCTATCACCAGAGGGTACGCGACTTCCTAAAACCCCATCACAGCTGGGGCCCCGGTTGCCCCGTGGCCCGCCAACGATTCGGTGAAGTCGTGCGGCATACCCCAGAGGAGCTAAGACTCAAAACTCGCGTCTCAAATGGCACCGTCGACATATCCGACCAGTAGTGCCCGTAGCTTCATGCCAGTGACGAGCCTCCATAGGTAGCAAGTCTTTGTCGAGAACATTTGTTGTCTGTAACAAGCTTTTTCTGCTCTCGTAACTTTTCATGTACCTTATTGAAGTGCAACGATTAGGTTTTTGTCGTAGGTGTGTAATTTTTTACTTCTATTTTCGTCAAGTCAATGTCTTCATTGTTCATCGAAAGTTCTTATTTTAAGATGGAGTTTGTATACTGCCGTAGAAAAGTGCGTTTCATTCGTTCTCAGCTTTGTACTTGTGAACGACTGATGCTATTTTTTCATTAAAATTACGTTGTTCAACTTCAAGTTTACACTACTCATTAGCTAATTTTACTTAAACATCAGTGAAAACAGTTTATTTCTTACGCAGGGGTTCTTGACTAACCACTGGTCACTCCTGTTGAAAATTGACGCCAGCATTAATGACGGCCACTTGCCGATATTCGGCGCGTGTTCGCTGCCACAGCGCGGGGTAGTGCCGGAAATACCAATTTGGACAGCTGTTAGTACTCCAATTTTTGGGTTGAATCGTCGCCACATCGAGACGTGTCACGGCTACTGCGGCAGCTGGCAGCACCGGTGAGGTATATACGAGGCGCTCTCGGTGACGGTTGTAGGCATGGGGTAATAAATCAGTGCGGTTTTATTGGCAATGGCCTAAACACGGCCGTCTCATTAGTTTCGTAAAAACGCCATCCATGTGGTCCGTGCGCAATTTGAGATATGCGCAGGTGAAATATATGCGTATATGTGAGACATGCGCAAGTTATAAGTAAAAATTTTCTCTTAAAAATATATGGGTATTATATAACGAATGATCGCACATTACATTAATACATGTATTACAGCTTTATTGTAATATCATGTGAATTGCTATAATATTGACAGAATTTTCCAATAAATCTTTTTGCTTGTCCCGTTTACGTTGTCCTTTACCCATTTACCGAAACATCGAGATTATATCGGCGATTTCATCGTATGCATCTTCGTTCTAATTAATTCGCTGTTCAATGTTAATAAAATCTCGGATCATGAACAAATTTAGAATATATAATATATATTTAGAAAACTTCCCGGTGTGTGTTGTCGGAATTTTCAATTAAGTGAAAAAAAAAATATGGAAAAATATATGTTCAGATTTGAAATGCCTAGCTCCTTATCGAACCCGGTGGAAGTCTAGTAGCTTCTTCAAACTATCGCCAGTCATGAAAAGATCCGGTCAAATGACACGAGTTTAGATCTATGAACAAGACACGAAATGGAAAAGAATCGGCGACAGGCCACATCAGGCCTACACTTCAGAGCCGACATCACTATGTTATGTTATGTTAAGTAGGCGATACAAAAATCGCCTGCAATGCAAGCTCGCCACTAGGATCGCTTTGTTGTCTCGTCCGTTTATTGTCATAATGCAAGTTCTACAATAGGCATTTTACAGAGGCATGTAGAGGGCATTATTATACACAAAATGTGATATTCGTCAAACAACATGAGAGTCTACATTAATAAAATGATACTTTTGAGATCTTCTCAAACAAAAAGCACTGAGAAACTGTGGCGAACGAGTGGAGTGTACCAAAATACGGATGAGTGTCCTAAATGTGTGACGCTTGTGAATGAAATGCACAAGCTGACAGATTTTTACCAACTGATCAGTAAAATGGAAGACCAAAAAGACTGTAAAGTTTACTATAGATATTTATCAAGTATGAAACTTCAAATGTGAAAAGTTTGCGTGTTGTTCGCCGGTGTGCATGGGACTCATTCTGACTGTTACATTGAAATAGAATTTTTATTAATCGAATCGCTATACGGAACTCAAGCAGAGGTATGGAAAACAGGTAAACACGTTTTTCAACGTTTAATTTTATAAAATAAATTGAAGTATATGTATAAATTAATTGAATCTAAAAAAGTCCTTCATGTACATCACAATCAACTTATTGACTACAACTAAAAAATCATGGGAAACGTGAATCATGTACAAAATTGATATAATGAGAAATATTCGCAAAGTCTGTAAAATAATTACAAATTGCAAAATAATATTATTGTGATTTTCAATCTGCCTCAATAAAATATAACCTTCAGATTGAGATGACGGGTATCTTATTAATTTACAAACTTTTCATGCACAGAAAAATTTCCTTATGCTCAGTACCTGAATGTTTTTAGCCGTACAATTGCACGTGACCTCGGTTTAATCAGAATATGTTGAAATGAAACTGGTTATTTCATTTGTAATTATTATTATATTATTTTCGCACGATACCATATTAGTGAAGCAACATCCTTATCTAGAAATTTTATCATTAGATTATAAACGTATTGACAACTAAATGTGTAATTACATTTAAATGGGATTATTGTAAGGAAGCTAGCGTTGTAACTCTTGACTGCTGGAGAATTGTTGTGAAATTCGAGCATATCAGAATATTTCACCTCAAAAATATTCTTGCCGGTGCCAGCCTCGATTTTTACTGTTATTTGTTTATCATAAGGAATTACACATCGCAGCTTCTTCAAGTTCATTCAAATTACAGGGCATGTCGGAAAATAACGACTCTTGCTCAACATCTGAAAACTCTATCCTACATACTATTCTCTCGTTCAACTGTTTTGGGAGGCAATGCCCAGTGTAGTTTATAAACGTATTATGACATATCATGCTATGTATATTATGATTCATATTATTCTTTAAATCATTCGTATTATTGCGGCAGTGCAGAGTGAAAAATGTGATGAAGCAGGTTCTCGTCACGGCTGTCTCACAGCACTAGATTTGCTCCTAGTTCCGCCCACCGAACACTGGCAAACTTCTGCGCGTACGAGATACAAGACGAAGGATATCAAGGTGAATGTGACGGCTAACCAAGCGCCAATCATTGCGAATATAATGAAGTAAAATGTTCCTTCAATGTTGTAGTTCAAATCGAGGCCGTTAAAGCCAGTTTGGCAGTTCGGGGGCCTGTAGTCAATGTCAGAAATGAACTGGAATGACAGACAAGTTTGACGGAGGCCATCTGTCAACATGCAAGCGACAGCCAGGGCTATTGCAAACGAGACCAAGTTGAAAAACAGCAAGCTAATGCTGAACGATCGTCTCGTGTAAAAACTGGAGCTTTTGCGTTTTGACCGCCAGTAAAACAACAGCCCTCCATGGATAAAAACGAGCGTGAGGGCTATCGCCATTATGATGACTGGTAGATATGCAGACAAGTAACACGGAATCATGCTTGGGTTGCCCCACAGTCTGTCATGTTGGAGGTTGGATTCCACATACAATGGACATTTGTCAGCGTGCCAGTCCCAATTTCGGCTCACGATTGCCATAGGCACGGTTGTGAGCAGACATGCGCAGATCGTAAGAAGTTGCAAAAGACCACTCCACATCTCTAACTTACCCCGCTTCGGATCTTGAGACAGAGTGGGCAGCGGATCGTCTGGCACTACTTTTTTATCAGCAAAAGTCAAATCGTCTAGAACGATTGTCGATTTCATCTTCTTCATTTTTCCCGGCATTATTTCTAAATTCTCTACTTCTGGTTCTTCTCTGGTTGTGCCAACTATTGTGAGGGCATCAGTAGATTTGGCTTTGTGCATTTTTGATTGATTTCGTACCTTCGCATTCTCCTTATCAGAAGAAAGTTCATCGCTTCTGAGATTTACGGTTGATTTGAATTGTCGGCGTGAATTTGCAAGTTCTGAGTTATGAATAGGAGATTTTCCTTCATGAAGCGGTTGACGGAATTCTCGCATTTCATGACTGTCAAAGCCTCTGTTCTGATTTACATGATGTGAATTCCAGGATGGGGCTGTTCTATGCACATCAGTACCACTTTCCGTGAAGCCATTTTGACTGATCCCGTGAGAGAATGACAGATGCTGGTCATGAGCATGGCCGCATTGGACTCCAGTGCAGACCTGATTCTGCCACCCTTGTGGTTGGGGTGCATGAGATGAGGAAAAGTTTTGGCCAAAGACGAGACCAGTTTGACAGTGACAGCTATTCATCATTGGCTGATGGATGTTGCAGCTTTGCTGTCCATTTGTGTGATGACTGACGTTAGGAGCGGCAGGTAATCCTTGAGAGCCACCACAAGTACATAGTGATCCACCTTGACAGCTTCCTAAATTCATGTTTGATTGGAAATTTTGGGTGGAGAGCGGAGATCCTTGAGACAGGGGAATAATATGTTGTGGATCCGCTTTCGAACGTGGTGAATTTTGGACTGGGATGTTTTTAGGAGGAAGTGGAGGGGGGCTGAAAATTTTTGGAGGTCGTTCAGGAGGAGATTTTAAAGGTAACAATGGTTGTCTCTCTTCTGCATTCATGTACGTTCCGGTTTCATTGATCCATTTGTGACTTGGCGCTGTTTCAAAATTAGTTATCGGCTTGCCGTTCACTTTTGAGTTATGCATATCTCGAGGCATGCTGGTGTGTTGGGCTAAAGTTTCGGTCGGTCTTTTCCATGGTTGATCATCTAGATCAGTTCCGTCATCAGATGAATCAAACGCTGGGACTGTGCTTGCAGAATCATCCAATGCTTTTCGTGCTTGGTGTGGGACACTAATGAATTGCATGGGTTTCTTAGTGACTTGATTCTGGGTCTTTTGACTGATGGTCAGCAGTTGCTCCCACTCTGACTCTCTTCGGACGAATTTAGCATCTGACATATCAGAATTTCCAACGTTACCATGCCGGCTGCTGTTATTGTTTTCAGTGGATTTCACGGAGGAACCAGCAAATGCCCCATTTTTCTTAGGCTCGATTTTAAATGAGGCTTCGGCTGTACTTTCACTAGTACCTCTACTGCGTGTGTTGACTGATTGATTCTGACGTTCCTCTGATGCATTGAGTGAGAATTCATGCGATCGCTGACGATGAGTGGTAGAAGGTAAGTTTGTTACTCTCGTGTCGGTAGAATCGTCGTCAATGGAACTTGAAGAGCTGCAAACAGCGTCCGTGGATTTGTATCTTTTTGGTGCTCTGTTGCTAAGCTGATCGGTACTTTTTTCTCTCTTTCTAGAACGTTGTTCTTGGTATATCTCATTGTCAAGAGCAACAAACTCATCATCGAAATCAAGGTCTCCCATACTCACACTTTTTCTTCGGTTTATCTTAGACGAGGAGGAACAAACGCTAGATGTGCGGCTGCCATTCCTCGAAGGAATGTTAAGTCGATCTCTGGATTGAGATCTCGATAGGGAACCTGACCTCGATTTAGACAATGACTTTCTTGCACGCGCGGGGCTCCGCTGTGGATCGAAAGGCTTGATGATAATGCCGAAGCTACGGCGACGAGGTACGAAGACTTCTTCAGTGACAGATGGCGGGGACGCAGCGGTTGTAGGGATGAGGACTCGATTGCTTCTCCGGCCTCGCGGAGTGCTTGGAGATCCGGAGCCAGGCATAGTGACTGATGTCCGGTCTGTAAAGAAAACATGACTACACTTTAACTTCAGATCTGGCTGCATAATTAGTAAAGAAGAGCGTCAAGTTGAAGAGGTATATTGGAACATTTACTGTAGAGATTATAAAGGGGAAAGATTTTCCGATTACAGTTCTACATAATTTGAGCGAAGAAATAATAATACACGCTAAAAATTACATTTTAAAGACAACACTTCTAAAGAATCCAGTGATTCCAATGTTACAGATGTACAATGAATTTCTAATTTTATTTTCGAATATTAAAAAATTAAAATTTCAATTTTTTTAATATATAATTTTTTTTTCAAAATTATTCATTCTGTTAATTGATTCATGCATTGCCTCCAATTTCACACAATTGTGCAAAATTTCATATCAATTGGACAGGTAAAAGTGTGTCAAATATCAATTACAAGATTTGCAACTGACAAAATTATTTTTTCAGTTTTTTTAATATTGATAATTTTTTTGTTCTTAAAATTATTCATTTTGTCATTTGATTCATGCATTGTCTCCAACTTAACGCAAGTGTGCAAAATTTCATATCGATAGGATAACTAGAAGTGTGTTAAATTTCGATTACAAGATTTGTAGCAGACAGACACACTAACAGACAAACAAGAAGTGAAGTTAAAGAGAAGTGTTGTAAAAAAAATGCGCAAGATGACGATGTAGTACGCAAATATCCAGACATGATTGTGAAATTTCAATGCAATGAAAATATGTTTTCAGCTGGAATAAAAGATTTTCTACAGTTTTTCAACCCCGCAGAGCGCATCGTTAAATGTTGTAAAAAAAATTCGAAATATTTTTCACGCATGACGAATTACCGGATTTAATATTCTGACGGAAAACTTCGTAGCAGTAGACAGTGTAATTCTACCTAACAATTTCTCACCAAACCTCAAGCCACGTGTAGAATATCATTGCTACATTCCTGGTAGAAAAGCCAGAAGCCTCTTGTAGACCCAATCGAAATGTGATTTTAAAATAGAAAATATGCGATTGTCTTGCGTAAAAAATGCTCTTCTTGCTTCAGTACTTTGGTTACATTACCGCAAGTTGAAAATTACGACAAGGTATTTGAAAATTTTCGGCAATGACATATAAGTGGTGACACCAAGGCGGCCCTGTGGTTACAATTCAGAGCAACAAGATAGGAGCAGAGAGGTGCATGCAGGTTCGATCCCAGCTACCTGTGACAGTTCTGGTCAAATCGGCAAGGATGCCGGACGGTAGCAAAGCAGAATTGGAGCAGTAAGTTGCGTGTTCGAGATCGTAACAAACTAAGAATCATGTTCAGCGATGTTAAGAATCTGCGACAGACCTACGGCCTAATAAACGCTGTAACCGCTATATTATATTGTATCATTATATAACTCGTTAAACGCAGAGTCAGGATGCGACTATGCGACGTTTGTGAAGTTATTATTATTTAGTTATCTATAGAAAATATGTCACCCCACTTTCTGTGTGCAATATTAAGTATGTTAAAAAACGATCGCTTGGAGGGATGACTGACGCAATTTTTAATTCGTAAACTAGACTTTCACGCACAATACGCCTTGGCTAAACATTTTAAACTCATAATTTGCTTTTTAATTCCAAGCGAAGATGCTCCAATGACTTGGTTATTCGAGTCTGATAATAAATGTGAGAATAATATAGCAAATGAGCGTATTTCATGAATAAATTATCGCGTAAAACGACGTACTTGGTCGTGGCGACATTCTTCCCTGCCAAATTAATGAACTTACACAATGGAAATGAAAATTTTTTAGTGTATCACCTGTACTAAAAAAATACACCCCGTATTTTTCCCAATTGAAATAATTGAAGAAAATCCCTGCGAGCGAGTGTTTTTGACGTGGAACTTGGTGATAGGGAAGAATGGTTGAGTGCTTTACAGGGTTCTTCAATTATAATTCTGCAATTCAATTATTAATTACTAAATGATCTTGGCCAATTCACAAACAGTTTGAAATTTTAGAAAATATATTTGGGTACACAACAGTAATGACAACTTTACTCATGTAATTTATAACTGGAGGGGAAAGTTTAAAATCCGGTAAAATATTTTTAACTTCAATAATCCAGTATTTGGGATTCCACGAATTTGTTTTATAGGCTGGCAATATTGGTGGGCGTGACGTGTAAACAATTGCAATGTTAGTTCCGTAAACGTATACATGAAAATTATTTAAACATATTGACTGAAAAAATTACAGTAATTAGAAATCAGAAAGTCTCGATTTCTCTCACAAGTTCTGGCAGAAATTCCGCTCGCGCTCAATTTCTCGCTTCGATGAGCAAGCTATCGTGGACAAGGAATCTTAAGTCACCAGAAGCGCAAAGCTCATCGAAAATTTGCCCGCAGATCACGTGTGACGCGACGGTAATAGAACTGGGAATGCGCTTCTCGAATCATTTCATCTTTGTCCAAAACTAATGAAGCTAGGAGTGAGATTTAAAGCAATTTCAATGAATTGCATTCAGTTTTATTCAAGACTGACATGCCCACTAATTTCTCTTATTCAAGAGATATTAGAAGTATGAGAAACTTTATTTTGAAGAGAGACTCATCATCATTACTTTGCTACGCAAAAAATTGCAATATTTAATGAGTAAAAGAGAAAGAGAATAAATGGAAAATAAAGGAAAATTTTCAAGTTCGAAATGTATGAATTTAATTTAGAACGATTGTTTTAAATCTTTTCCTTTTTTTTTAATTTTCATGCAGCGCAACTGTGGCTCTGATCATTCTGTTCAAAAGAAATGGCTAAAACAAAAAGCTGAAACTATTTCACTCGCTTGGCCATCCAATGATTGCTCATGAATTGTTTAGTAACCAAAGTCACTGGCGTGAACAAACACAATGTTAATTAACTCACCCAAAATTATATGATGTAAAAGCTGGCCTCTAGATGTATTCTAAAAGGTTGTAAATTGGTTTGAAGCTTAACTTAAGAATGAGCTACTAAATCCTATACAACTAATGGCAGAAATTTTATCCTCGTGGTAAAGTAATGGCTCTGTTATTTTTCCTTGAAATTAAAAAGTATAATGTGGTTACGGCCCGGCTTTAAGAATTGAAATTAATTTTGCTGTCCGTTATTGTAGGAAACTTAACGAGAGCTCCTCAAGAACATTCCTGCTTGAACAAAGTTCGAGATAAGACTGGGTCCACATCCGTGAGCTGTAGGGTCCTGAAGGCTTACTTGTGTCTTTATCAGCGCTTATCATCGAACTATCATAGCGTTAACTGCGGCGCGCTCCACTATCAGTTGATAAGCCAACAACAAAGAGCGTTTCTCGCACGACTCTACACCATCCGTACTCGAACTGTGAGTAATACCATCCTCGATGAGTAATAACATTGATGACTTGGTAATAAATTCATCGCTGAATGCTGTCATTCTACCGGAACTAGGGTTGCTCCTCAATCGCATTTTAGATTTGTAATTTATTGATTACTTCGTAAAAGGAATGGTTATGCATATAATATGACGAATTTAACTTTGAGGGTATTGAAATCACAATTTTTTGCTTATCAATAGAGATGAATGGTTTATTTATAAAAATAAGTGAAAAACGAATGTCTAGAGCAGAAATTCGGCAAACGACTTCGGCAGCGTCGTCGTCAGTACATGAAATCGATGGGAGAATTGTCCCACATTCGAAGCATCCCGCAAAAATTGCATTTGCATTTCTTTACAAAATCAAACACTCTGCTTTGCGACGTTGCTCTCCGGCCCTTGTAATCGTGACTGCAAATCACAATTTTTTTTGCATGTATGAATTTTTCAATGACATTAAAACATGACATTGAATTTCTTAGATTTAGGTTCAAAACATTCTCAACGCGACTAGTTAAATTATTTCGTTATATCCTTCCTATACGAGAATGTTTGACCTTCGTTTCTTGTGCGTTATAATTCCGGGCAATTTTGGAATCCAATTCCCGTCATTCCAATGATATCTAATCCGATAAATAGGAATAGAGCTTATGAATTCTAATTAAACGACGAACATTTTAGTTTGATTTCAAAATCTTTAAAAAATTAATTTTCATCTTTTAAGCTATAATTATTTTAACCAATTGCAAAACAAAATTGAATTTTTGATCGAATTCTTCACTCCCTTTTCTCCGATCTTTTCGTATTTTCCCGCAAAAAAATTAGGTCTGGTAATATCTCAACACGATAAGCATCGAAGATAAGCGTTCATCAAACAGTCCTTATATTTTTATGTTACCGGGCGTCAAGCACACACAAAATCCAAAATTGTATCAAATATATATAAAATAACTAGAACGACCGCATACCTATTGTGTACCTGTCTTCTCTCAATTCGCAAATGTCAGAATCGATAGAATTCCATATTGGCGTTATATTTAAAATGTAACAGCCAGGAGAAGATTGGATCGGTAATTTTAGTTGTAGTGCTTACTGCAGCGATGTCGCAAAATCCAATCACGAGTTTTGTCCAGCATCTGGTGCCGTTATAAAACGACATTCATGAGCCATAAAGTTCCTTATGTCACTCTGCACGATCGATTTAAACTGCTGGAAGCCTTCATATTAAGAATTTAGCTCGACCTGCACCGCCATCCCTCGCTCGATACAAGCAGGCATGCAGCACCGTGACCTTGCTCTTGCTATGAGCCGCCGTCTCGCCTTCACGAGGTCAGTCTTTATTGCATGATACACGCGACTGTGAACTTTGCTTCAGAATTGAAAATAGAACGAAAATCTCAAGCAGTCATTCTAAATTTATTTCACATAATCATTAACGATGTTAGGGAATAGTATAAATTTATTCATATGTTTAGCAACAATTTTTCCATTTTCATTCAGACTTTCAATTCCGCAATTTAGGTCTTGTATACATTCAGGATTTTAGTCATTCATGTTTTAGACTTTAGCTGGAGTGGACTACAGGGGCACAACGCAATTGTAAATACGTGTTTTACCAAATGTATTGTGAATAATCCGTGTTTTATATGTACTGAAAACCTTTCCTGACCGTTTAAGAAAATGATTAAGAAGTAGTTCCCCAGCAACGATAACTTAAATGTATTAAAATGCAGTTTTTTTAAGTTCATAGTGGTTCGGAGTTCCTCGAGCCCTATTTAAAATTAAGTTTCATTTATGAGTCCAAGGGCAATAATGCTTCACTCAGTATAATACGTGTATCACATGCAGGAGCTATAACTCATTCTCGTCCTAATTTGTAGGCATTTCAAGTGCATAATAAATGACAGCTCGATGCGAAGTAAGTGAAAGCTTCTCTTCATGACTTACGAGAACCATTATGTGCTGGGATATGGAGGTTCTTCACGAATGCCGACACGCGGTCATATGAGGTGTCTTTAGTGATTTATGTTTGAGTATTTGTACCAGATGTTCTGGCATCATCGACCCAACTGCAGGAGGGATCTTTTTCAAGTTTCGAGCAAAATGTTATCCATCGAATAGTAGAATAGCTGCGTAGAATAAGTTGATAGTTGCGTTATAATAGACATTAATGTGTTGCTAGAATTATTGTTCAAATATGTGTTAATTTGCAGAAGCAAGGAGTCCATCCAACGATCCACTTCCCATCTGTCTTCCTGAACTCTACTTTAATAGGCCTGCGATTAACATGCTTCTGTTTCATTATATTCAGGTATTATAGAATTTTCAAGTCAGAAACACTGGAAGCGGATGTGAAATTTATTTGATACACTGGAAAAAATTAAACGTATCCATGTTCTACGCGGAAGGATCCTTGCAGAACGCGTTAGCTGCGGAAGGAGGTTTATAGTACAATAATTTGTAACTTCATGCTGCGTCAGTCAAGGATAGAAGTTACGTTACCTTTGACCGACGTAAGCTGATGTGTTTAACTTGCAGCTGCCTTAAATAAATTAGATAGGAAGGCATATGATTAGGGAGACAACAATTTTTCATGGTGAAAAAACCGAATTAAAATTATTCAACGACAAATCTCGCATGTTAGTATTAACAGTTTACTACTTGAATAAAACTTAAATTCTTTTAATATGATTTCAGATGCTTCGCTAGCGTTTGAAAATGTCCAATAACTCATATAGGCCTAACCACACGCGGATCATCTTCAGAATATCGCTTGGATATGCATTTCCTCATTTGTGTAAACAGAAGAAACCATTCAGCGAAAAGTTATTGCATAAAAATTGAATCCAGAATGCACATCATAAAATTTGCGTAGCTAAAAAATTATTTGTATATTAATGTAAGATAACATACAACGTGTAACGGAAATAGCAGGGCTAAGGGATTTAGTACAATTTAGTCAATAAAAGGTGCACTTGCTCGATTCAAGCTCCGTGCTGAATTTAATTGACGTTTCTTGCACAAAAAGATAATCGAAGAAAAGCCTTCGTGACAGGGATGCTTAAAACGGCTTCGATTGGTTATCAAACTCATGGTGGAGGTCGACGACGAAATATTCCAATTATTATCAAGTGAATTTCGTTTGCATTTTTTGTGTTTAAATTCTGAATGAGTTGAAATTTTCTATTCATACGTTTGTGCTCGTGTCGTATGGTTGTAAGTTGTTAACTCGAGTCGACAAAGAGTACCACGACTCAACATCGAATTAGAGAAATTCTCATCCTCACAAGATTGCTAACCTTGCTGATCGCCTAGTACTTTTAATAGCCACTTGTTGGATAAAGAAATCGATGTTTCGCACAGGCCTAATTCGAGCTTTTTGTGACAAGAACTGCCCATTAGATAACGTTAGCATGTAGGCCGGGGCTCGCGTGTTTCTGATTGCCAAGTTAATCGACCTTCAGAATGTGTGGTGATTTTGATATTAATGTATTTTATGGCACGATTATTTTGTGTGATTTATCTTTAGGCATGCAGAGACTATGAAAATTCTTTTCTCAAGGTTATACGTAGGGCTAAAGTGCAACTAGTTATAAAGTTCCACGACATATACCATTAGTGTACCCATCTATCAAGATGATAACATTTGGAAAGCAGTTCTTCTTACCATTTTTACAAGGAAGAGCTCAATTTTATGAGGTTAAGTTCAGGATTACTGTAATAATAACAGACAGGCAAGGACTGGTCTCCCACTTCTGAGACAGGAGGACGGCTCACACCTTTTCATATTGAAGCTTGAAACGCAACGGTGGCGTGCATATTTAGCTCCCTGGACTGACATGCAGAGTGGAACTACGGAAGTGATCGACTAACCGGACATAGTTCAAGATAATATCAGCTTCTGGGCTTTATTGCACATTGTTCACGGAACAATTTTACCGTGCGGCTGAATAGCGATCATATTTTAATCAATGTAGATTTATTGCATTTGGATTTACTAATGAAAAAATTGCACTCCGACTAACCATGCAAAATCTACAGAAGTAAAGCATTATAATGAAGTAAATAAAGTTCCTTACCTCAGCACCGAGCTTTTCAAGGACATAAAACAACAATTTTAAACCGCGGGAAGGTAAAATGTTTTCACTGTGTTAATTATACTAATAGCTGAAAGAAAATGTCAGCTAGTGCTGCCTGCTCATTGCAGCGCTAAGTCATGCTTTAGGTGCATGGGCTGGATTAAACTGATAGGTGCTAGTGATATACTAGGTTGCTGGTGCTACTAATATACTCAGCTTCAACCCAATGAATTTTGTCAGCCGTATTCTGATGGAAAATTGTTGCATGTTTTAGCTTAGAGAGTATGTTTTTATGGCATTTCACTACTCTCTTATGGCATTTTCACTACAGCTGTTAACAATTAAAATGGATATTGTAGATAAATAAGTGAATATGTTGGTCTGCGGGAAGATGCCCGCACACAAAAATCAAAATTAAAAGGGAAAAAACAAGAAATAACTTCAACAAATAAATTGACAAAATTGAAAAAAATTCAAACATATGCATTCATCTAGGACCAAATGGACGAGAAATGCAAATTTGAGTAAAACTTCTTAATTGAACTATGGCTGGCCCATTGAGATGATACAACAGCAGCAATTAGTGATCAACGAGGCGAGGCGCAGCAGAGGAAGCTTGGCCGAAGTTTAGTGGCAAACACGCTGTTGACTGCCAGCCATCAATTATGGCGCAGACCCTGCAAAACACGACTCGTTCCGCCTTTGAGAAGTCCGCGGGCGTCTT